GCACCATAGCTGCAAAAATAAAAAACCATCAAACAATAAACATTGGTGCGATCTATTGTCCACCTGCACACGAATGGATTGATACACAATTTAAACAGGTATTTGACTCTCTGGGTAGCAGATTTATCGTAGCTGGGGATTGGAACGCCAAAAGCCAATGGTGGGGCAGTGCAAGATCGTGTAGAAGACGGGCTGCACTTCTGAAATGCATCCAGGAAAACGACCAAAGCATACTGGCCACTGGATCCCCCACCCATTTTCCTTCAAATCGACGACATATGCCGTCTGCTATAGACTTTGCGGTTTATAAGGGTATTAGACACAATTTAATTCACATTGAAACATCATATGACTTAGGTTCAGATCACAACATGCAAATCATTAAACTCCTCCTGAGACCTGAATATGGAAAAAAGAAGATACAATTACCAAAAAATGCAAATATCAGAAGATTTCAAGCTCACCTAGAACAGCGAATCCATCTGGAGACTGAACTTCACAACGGCGACGACATAGATGATGCAGTGGCTATCCTTGAAAAGAACATTTACATTGCAGCTGAATTGACTTCGCAAACCTCAAGTAACCAGCACACAGTGTACGGACCGCAAAACTTTCATCTTGACTCGCAAACGCTGAAAGCGATCAAGATCAAAAGAATTCTCTGCAAAATCAACCAAAAAGATAGGTGCTCCAAACCCCTCATTGCACGCACTATCAATCAGCTGACTAACAGAATAAGTAACGGATCAAGCTACAAAAAGACAAACAAATGAACAGACTGCTACACGACATCGACCAAACTGATAGGTGCAGCATGCAGAAACTATGGCGGCTCACCAACACAATCAAGAGACAGCCCATTCCAAATCTGCCAGTCAGAAGGCACGTGGCGGAAGGGCAGCAAGCTCCTGCTGATCCTTGGTGCAAAACTACGGAGGAAAAAGCTGAGGCCTTTGCGCAGCACCTGGAAGCACGTTTCACGCCAAAGATCACGGCAGCCCTAGAAGACAGAGAAGAAATTAACGCAGTATTACAAGAAAACGGTCCAGATGAAGCTGCTCAAATAATCAGACCTGTGACCATCCAGGAACTCAAATCGGAAATTAAGAAGCTCTGGACGAAAAAATCTCTATGTTAAGGAAACCAGGAAAGCCGAGTGATAGGCTTGAGTCCTACAGACCCATCAGCCAGCTTACAGGCTTCTCCAAAATCCTTGAACGCCTCATCCTCAAGCGACTCTTTGAAGAAGAAAGCTTTGCCATGGCTATTCCAAACCATCAATTTGGCTTCAGAAGTTAGCACTCAGCGGAACAGCAAATCGGACGAGTCACGCAATTTATCCTCAGATCCTACGAAGCGCAGCGGCATTGCAGTGCTGTGTACATGGATATCCAGGAAGCTTTTGATAGAGTCTGGCATCAGGATCTTCTCTGCAAAGTTAAAACGATAATACCTGACAATTTATACATTCTACTCACCAGCTATCTCTCAGACAGAAGCTTCAAAGTCGTCTGCTGTAACAACATCACCTCAAGCCTAAAGCACATAACCGCTGGAGTGCCGCAAGGAAGCGTACTTGGCCCAGTGCTCTATAATCTTTACACTGCCGACATGCCGCAGCCATCAAGACACGCAAACTCAACCCAAATGCTAGCAACGTACGCTGATGACGCAGTATACCTCGTATCTGCCCTAAGTCCAAAACAAGCCAACGAAAATGTGGAGCGGCTCCTGGCTGATGCATTATCATGGTCTAAGAAATGGGGAATAACCATCAGTCTTGAAAAAACTGCTCATGTTCTACACACTCTCTCACCTGTGCAGCAACACACTCCAGCTCCAAGGTTAGCCGGGCAACTCCTGGCCAATAAATCCGTCATGCCATACCTGGGAATACATATGTATACGAAGCTCAATTTCAATAAGCATGTAGCGGCAATAGTCACTAAAACAAGGGCCCGGATCAAAAAGCTCGACTGGATCATCGGCAGAAACAGTAAACTCCCACTACCTCCAAAGGTCCTCCTCTATAAGGAGCTGATTGCCCCAATATGGCAGTATGCCTTACCAGTCTGGGGGCCACTGACTTCAAGCATGCAAATGGCCAAGCTCCAGACGATCCAAAGCAAAGCTCTCAGAGCAATGACAAATGCTCCCCGGTATGTGAGCAACAAAGCACTGCATGCGGATCTCCAAGTAGCAACTGTGGAAGAAGTTTATAACAGACTCTGCAGGAACTGCTACACTCGGCTAATGCAGCACACAAATTTACTTGCCTGTGAGATCGCAACGCACCCATACAGTCCAAGAAGGCTGGCCAGGCCAAGGTATGCCGCAATGATAGAAGAGCACAATCCAAACAGCAACAGAATCCTGACAGCCATCCAAACAATACTGCTCCAAGTCAGACGCGAGAACTGGCTGCGCAATCCATTTGCAACACACAATATGGAAATCAGCCGCAGTAGCGCTAATGCAGCTGCTACGCAGGCAAATGACGGCCCCAGCAGAGAACCTGATGATGGACGGCGGCAGCTCCAGAATCCAGATGATGGCGGCGGCTGAAAAGAAACTAAAAACCTTTTTATTCTTCCACAGATACGAAGCCACTTCCCCTTCACAGAAATTGATAATCCACATCCAGAATGACGATGCACTGGACCTCGGCCAGCTTCAGCCCTGTTGATGCTGTCCTGCAGTCACAGTTTAGCGCCGACACTCGAAAGGATTCCACTTCGCAGCCGACGACGAGACCAATAGGCGTAATGATGTTCTTCACGGCTGCATACTCCACCTGAAATCATTAAAAACAAAAACAATGTAAACAAAGTAGCAATAAGTTTAGTGTTACCCTGCCATTTAGCCAAATTATCGATAGCTACTAAAAAAAAATAAATACCAAATAAGCCAATACCGTAAGAAATGTTACCCTGCCAATTTACAGCCACTTCTGCAACTACATGTAATGTAGATAAGCAGTTGGCGCGAAACAATTTGTAAAATATGCTAATTATAAGAGTATAAACAAATAAAACGGTTCTCTCTTCATGTCAGCCTCCCTGTCCCCTGCTAATGCAGGTGGCGATGGAAATTGGTTCGACATGTTGTTTCACAACAGAAACAACATCCCGCACATTTCCCTCGCACCAACAAGAGAGAACTCCATCCAGATGTGTACCATAGCTGCAAAAATAAACGAGGGGGAACGTTGTGAGTTGCTGCGGACACCGCAACTCTACAGTTATACCCGATACTAAGTCAGTATGGCTCTCCTCCGGCAGACGCCGCTAATATTAAACGACACGACAAAGAGTGCGTGCGAGAGAGACAGAAAATCAGTCTGAGCGTGACGTCGGGCGCTGCGTAGCCACTGCAAATTGATTTGTTCCTTTTGGCTACAAAAATCCGATCTGATCCAGATTCGGCAACCGGATAGATATGGTCATTCTCTATGATTCTGCGTTTTTAGTTTACTCGAATTTGCAATATTGTGGATGCAACAGATTTTCGTCCTTTGTGTGGGCGGAAGGGGGTGGGACGAAATTTTGAGATATACGTTTTATAGTGAGATCTAACAGGAGTGCGGATACCAAATTTGGTTACTCTAGCCTTAATAGTCTCTGAGATTTATGAATATCCCCAGATCTGCATCCTTTGCGGGGGCGGAAGGGGGTGTGGCGAAATTTTGAAACAAACTCGTCTCGGTCCGATATATTAGGAGTGTGGATACCAAATTTGGTTGCTCTAGCTTTTATAGTCTCTGAGATCTAGGCGCTAATGTTTTACTCTAAGCAAAGCCGCCTATGCTACGTGTGTGTTAGAGAGAGACAGGGCGAGAAAAAATTAAATTGTTTTCGTGATGCTGGCTATAATAATAATACGATCCAATTCAGATTCCGCAGTCTAAAAGATATGGTCATTCTCTACGATTCTGCGTTTTTGGTTTTATCGTATCTTTAAAAATGTGGATGCCACAGATTTTCGTCCTTTGTGGGGGCGGAAATGGGCGGGGCGAAGTTTTGAAATATTTTTGTAGCAGTGACATATCACAGAAGTCTGGATCCAAAACATCGTTGCTCTAGCTCTTATAGTCTTTGAGCATTAGGCGCTGAAGGGGACGGACAGATGGACAGACGGACAGACGGACAGACGGACGGACGGACAGACGGACAGACGGACGGACGGACAGACAGACATGGCTCAATCGACTCGGCTATTGATGCTGATCAAGAATATATATACTTTATGGGGTCGGAAACGATTCCTTCTGGACGTTACACACATCCACTTTTACCACAAATCTAATATACCCCAATACTCATTTTGAGTATCGGGTATAAAAACCACCTGCACACGAATGGATTGATACACAATTTAAACAGGTATTTGACTCTCTGGGTAGCAGATTTATCGTAGCTGGGGATTGGAACGCCAAAAGCCAATGGTGGGGCAGTGCAAGATCGTGTAGAAGACGGGCTGCACTTCTGAAATGCATCCAGGAAAACGACCAAAGCATACTGGCCACTGGATCCCCCACCCATTTCCCTTCAAATCGACGACATATGCCGTCTGCTGAATTGACTTCGCAAACCTCAAGTAACCAGCACACAGTGTACGGACCGCAAAACTTTCATCTTGACTCGCAAACGCTGAAAGCGATCAAGATCAAAAGAATTCTCTGCAAAATCAACCAAAAAGATAGGTGCTCCAACCCCCTCATTGCACGCACTATCAATCAGCTGACTAACAGAATAAGTAACGGATCAAGCTACACAAAGACAAACAAATGAACAGACTGCTACACGACATCGACCAAACTGATAGGTACAGCATGCAGAAACTATGGCGGCTCACCAACACAATCAAGAGACAGCCCATTCCAAATCTGCCAGTCAGAAGGCACGTGGCGGAAGGGCAGCAAGCTCCTGCTGATCCTTGGTGCAAAACTACGGAGGAAAAAGCTGAGGCCTTTGCGCAGCACCTGGAAGCACGTTTCACGCCAAAGATCACGGCAGCCCTAGAAGACAGAGAAGAAATTAACGCAGTATTAGAAGAAAACGGTCCAGATGAAGCTGCTCAAATAATCAGACCTGTGACCATCCAGGAACTCAAATCGGAAATTAAGAAGCTCAAGACGAAAAAGGCACTCGGTATCGACAGTATCGACAATCGCGTCATTAAATCTCTGCCAACATCCGCCATCGAGTATCTGCTGTTGATATGCAACTCGGCTCTGCAGTTCGGCCACTTCCGAAATTCCTGGAAATGCGCAAAAATCTCTATGTTAAGGAAACCAGGAAAGCCGAGTGATAGGCTTGAGTCCTACAGACCCATCACCCAGCTTACAGGCTTCTCCAAAATCCTTGAACGCCTCATCCTCAAGCGACTCTTTGAAGAAGAAAGCTTTGCCATGGCTATTCCAAACCATGCAAATATCAGAAGATTTCAAGCTCACCTAGAACAGCGAATCCATCTGGAGACCGAACTTCACAACGGCGACGACATAGATGATGCAGTGGCTATCCTTGAAAAGAACATTTATATTGCAGCTGAATTGGCTTCGCAAACCTCAAGTAACCAGCACACAGTGTACGGACCGCAAAACTTTCATCTTGACTCGCAAACGCTGAAAGCGTTCAAGATCAAAAGAATTCTCTGCAAAATCAACCAAAAAGATAGGTGCTCCAACCCCCTCATTGCACGCACTATCAATCAGCTGACTAACAGAATAAGTAACGGATCAAGCTACAAAAAGACAAACAAATGAACAGACTGCTACACGACATCGACCAAACTGATAGGTACAGCATGCAGAAACTATGGCGGCTCACCAACACAATCAAAAGACAGCCCATTCCAAATCTTGCAGATCCTGGGTGCAAAACTACGGAGGAAAAAGCTGAGGCCTTTGCGCAGCACCTGGAAGCACGTTTCACGCCAAAGATCACGGCAGCCCTAGAAGACAGAGAAGAAATTAACGCAGTATTACAAGAAAACGGTCCAGATGAAGCTGCTCAAATAATCAGACCTGTGACCATCCAGGAACTCAAATCGGAAATTAAGAAGCTCTGGACGAAAAAATCTCTATGTTAAGGAAACCAGGAAAGCCGAGTGATAGGCTTGAGTCCTACAGACCCATCAGCCAGCTTACAGGCTTCTCCAAAATCCTTGAACGCCTCATCCTCAAGCGACTCTTTGAAGAAGAAAGCTTTGCCATGGCTATTCCAAACCATCAATTTGGCTTCAGAAGTTAGCACTCAGCGGAACAGCAAATCGGACGAGTCACGCAATTTATCCTCAGATCCTACGAAGCGCAGCGGCATTGCAGTGCTGTGTACATGGATATCCAGGAAGCTTTTGATAGAGTCTGGCATCAGGATCTTCTCTGCAAAGTTAAAACGATAATACCTGACAATTTATACATTCTACTCACCAGCTATCTCTCAGACAGAAGCTTCAAAGTCGTCTGCTGTAACAACATCACCTCAAGCCTAAATCACATAACCGCTGGAGTGCCGCAAGGAAGCGTACTTGGCCCAGTGCTCTATAATCTTTACACTGCCGACATGCCGCAGCCATCAAGACACGCAAACTCAACCCAAATGCTAGCAACGTACGCTGATGACGCAGTATACCTCGTATCTGCCCTAAGTCCAAAACAAGCCAACGAAAATGTGGAGCGGCTCCTGGCTGATGCATTATCATGGTCTAAGAAATGGGGAATAACCATCAGTCTTGCAAAAACTGCTCATGTTCTACACACTCTCTCACCTGTGCAGCAACACACTCCAGTTCCAAGGTTAGCCGGGCAACTCCTGGCCAAAAAATCCGTCATGGCATACCTGGGAATACATATGGATACGAAACTCAATTTCAATAAGCATGTAGCGGCTATTGTCACTAAAACAAGGGCCCGGATCAAAAAGCTCGACTGGATCATCGGCAGAAACAGTAAACTCCCACTACCTCCAAAGGTCCTCCTCTATAAGCAGCTGATTGCCCCAATATGGCAGTATGCCTTGCCAGTCTGGGGGCCACTGACTTCAAGCATGCAAATGGCCAAGCTCCAGACGATCCAAAGCAAAGCTCTCAGAGCAATGACAAATGCTCCCCGGTATGTGAGCAACAACGCACTGCATGCGGATCTCCAAGTAGCAACTGTGGAAGAAGTTTATAACAGACTCTGCAGGAACTGCTACACTCGGCTAATGCAGCACACAAATTTACTTGCCTGTGAGATCGCGTCATTAAATCTCTGCCAACATCCGCCATCGAGTATCTGCTGTTGATATGCAACTCGGCTCTGCAGTTCGGCCACTTCCCAAAGTCCTGGAAATGCGCAAAAATCTCTATGTTAAGGAAGCCAGGAAAGCCGAGTGATAGGCTTGAGTCCTACAGACCCATCAGCCAGCTTACAGGCTTCTCCAAAATCTTTGAACGCCTCATCCTCAAGCGACTCTTTGAAGAAGAAAGCTTTGCCATGGCTATTCCAATCCATCAATTTGGCTTTAGAAGTCAGCACTCAGCGGAACAGCAAATCGGACGAGTCACGCAAGTTAACTTCAGATCCTACCAAGCGCAGAGGCATTGCAGTGCTGTGTACATGGATATCCAGGAAGCTTTTGATAGAGTCTGGCATCAGGGTCTTCTCTGCAAAGTTAAAACGATAATACCTGACAATTTATACATTCTACTCACCAGCTATCTCTCAGACAGAAGCTTCAAAGTCGTCTGCTGTAACAACATCACCTCAAGCCTAAAGAACATAACCGCTGGAGTGCCGCAAAGAAGCGTACTTGGCCCAGTGCTCTATAATCTTTACACTGCCGACATGCCGCAGCCACCAAGACACGCAAACTCAACCCAAATGCTAGCAACGTACGCTGATGACGCAGTATACCTCGTATCTGCCCTAAGTCCAAAACAAGCCAACGAAAATGTGGAGCGGCTCCTGGCTGATGCATTATCATGGTCTAAGAAATCGGGAATAACCATCAGTCTTGCAAAAACTGCTCATGTTCTACACACTCTCTCACCTGTGCAGCAACACACTCCAGCTCCAAGGTTAGCCGGGCAACTCGTGGCCAAAAAATCCGTCATGCCATACCTGGGAATACATATGGATACGAAGCTCAATTTCAATAAGCATGTAGCGGCTATTGGCACTAAAACAAGGCCCCGGATCAAAAAGCTCGACTGGATCATCGGCAGAAACAGTAAACTCCCACTACCTCCAAAGGTCCTCCTCTATAAGCAGCTGATTGCCCCAATATGGCAGTATGCCTTGCCAGTCTGGGGGCCACTGACTTCAAGCATGCAAATGGCCAAGCTCCAGACGATCCAAAGCAAAGCTCTCAGAGCAATGACAAATGCTCCCCGGTATGTGTGAAACAACGCACTGCATGCGGATCTCCAAGTAGCAACTGTGGAAGAAGTTTATAACAGACTCTGCAGGAACTGCTACACTCGGCTAATGCAGCACACAAATGTACTTGCCTGTGAGATCGCAACGCACCCATACATTCCAAGAAAGCTGGCCAGGCCAAGGTATGCCGCAATGATAGAAGAGCACAATCCAAACAGCAACAGAAGCCTGACAGCCATCCAAACAATACTGTTCCAAGTCAGACGCGAGAACTGGCTGCGCAATCCATTTGCAACACACAATATGGAAATCAGCCGCAGTAGCGCTAATGCAGCTGCTACGCAGGCAAATGACGGCCCCAGCAGAGAACCTGATGATGGACGGCGGCAGCTCCAGAATCCAGATGATGGCGGCGGCTGAAAAGAAACTAAAAACCTTTTTATTCTTCCACAGATACGAAGCCACTTCACCTGCACAGAAATTGGTAATCCACATCCAGAATGACGATGCACTGGACCTCGGCCAGCTTCAGCCCTGTTGATGCTGTCCTGCAGTCACAGTTTAGCGCCGACACTGGCAAGGATTCCACTTCGCAGCCGACGACGAGACCAATAGGCGTAATGATGTTCTGAATAGGCTTTTCACACTGACGACCATCCACCATCCACCATCCATTTCGGGGATGGTCCGTAAGGTTTTGCCGTTCCGAAAATTTCCCAGTTAGTCCACCATCCATTTTGGATGTTCCTAAACCGCACGTTTCTATGCGATAGTTAGCCGATGGTTTTCAAATGCAACTCTGAATAATTGTCATTCACAATGGAAAAATGGTATTCACTGCGAAAACGTAAACAATGATTGTGACAAAATTAACAAAAAACAAAAACAACAACTTATTACAACAACAAAACAAACAACAAAAACTTATTAATAAAATGGATTTAGTGCCAGAAATCCCTCCAGTGGTACGTTGAATAGATATATTTGTTTTTTATTGTTTATAATATATAATATTATTACACAATGCAGCAAACAAGAGAACAACAGCAGGCGGCAGGGTGAAATGGAGTGCCGCGCTTGAGTGCCTGCTGGTTGACATATGGCAGGAGAAAATTGAAGATTTGCGCGGACCACGCAAAAATTCACATGTGTACATGGAGATGGCCGAGTCCATGAAGGAGGCTGGGCTCGGATAAGTGCTCTGCAAAACTCGTGCAGGATATTACACACACTGTTTGGAGCTACACCGAAAAGCCTGCCAACTGTTCGGTACTCAGAGGACGAGCCCAAAGTGTATAGCGCAATGGCGATGCGCTTTTCCAAAGGAATTGCAGCTCGGCAGTTGGTGTCCTTCTTTCGCAGCACTTCAAGCCGATTCACTAAAATATCAAAGCAGTGCCTCTCCATTCGGAAACTCTCTTTGAAAAACGCCTCGTTGTTTTCTGGTACATCTTTCTCCCAAAATGTCCCGAACCGCTTCTAAAACCATAAAATATGTCCTTGTACTTTAAACTAAATAAATAAATAATAAACTTAATAAATCTTCCGCGCAAATTTAATGAACTTGTTATTGGCATCAGCTGTTTTTGATGGATGTTGGATGGTGGATGGTGGATGGTGGCAGTGTGAATCGGAGTTTCACATTTGTCAAAAAATCCCACCATTCCCCCGGGATGGGCTCAGTGTGCAGAGGCTAGAAGTTTTGCCTTGTTGTGTTGTACTTTGTACAATTGAAAATTAAATGCGAGGCGTTATCGATACTATCGCATGTATCACATATGTTGCTAGGAACTACATGCATTTTGGCGAGAGTGTGCCTATCGAATGCGTTACCGCTAAGCAGTCTGTTGATTCTTTTAGCGTCAATGGCTTTAAGTTTAGTTTTATTTAGGAACCACGGTTTGGATGACGTTGAGGGGAAAAGCGAGCAGTAACCACGGTGCTTGCTACTAGCAAACTCGGCGTATTCTCTCTCCCATTCTGATTTTAGGATTCTGTGTATTTCGCACATAGCGTCTTTAAGGTTCCATTTAACCACTGTGTATTTTCCTCGTCTGTGGGCTTCTTTGGCTGCTGCGTCGACTGTAGTGTTCTGAGGGATGTTAGCGTGTCCGGGAATGTAGTGAACCTCTACAGTTCTTAGATGTGGATTTTTTTGGATCTTTTCTCTGATTTTGTAGGCGATAGAGTTATCCTGAATGTTCTTCGCCAGAATGAGGGCCCCGTTTCTGCTGTCTGTCAGGAACGCGACACGAGGAAAATTGTACAAAATAGCATGGTCCAATGCCTTCTCGATAGCAAGGAGCTCGGCGGACAACGAGGAAAGGGTTTTGTGCGTGTAATAGCTATCTAAAAAACCTGTCCTATCGTGCAGGAAAGCGGCGCTGGAATGCCCATCGGCGACTGACCCATCCGTGTAATAGATTTCAAAACCCCCCTTCGTCAGCTGATCCTTCTTTTCCCCGTGGAGCAGCATGATACCTGCCTGGTCTATAGCGTGCTTGTTGGGTGCAGAGCCCTTGAAAAATTCTAAGTCGGAGCTAATTTTATTGCAAAATGAAGCTGTGTTCTCGAAAACCTCAACTCTGTCTATTATGCTGCCAAACTCCCGATATGCCTTAGCGTAGCCCGTGTTTAAATCCCTATTTGCTGACACTGTTTCACTTGCTGGGAGATTAAATGCAAACACCTTAACCAACTCTTTCGCCGCCAGGAATCTCATCCTGTAGTCCGGGGGAAGTTCTCCTGCCATGTGGTATATGATAGGAACGGGAGTGCAGATTATCAGACCCAGCGACTTTCTGAGGTGATGGTTGCAGTGGGATTTGATTTTGGCCAAGGCAGATTTGGACAGGTTGCAGAATGATGAGCACGCGTACTCTAGCCTACTTCTGACAAATGCCTTGTAAAATATAAGCCCTCTTTTGGGGCTGACACCATAGTGACACCCGCTGAGTAATCTGAGAAACGCACAATTTCTGTTCGATTCCGAGATGGCCAGATCAATGTGACCAGAGGCTGAGTTGTTTGCTGAGATAGTCCTGCCTAGGTATTTGATCTGCTCTACTTGTCTGATTTCAACTCCCTGATGCGAGATATTTAGCGCAGTTCTACGATTATTGAAGTAAATCACTTTAGACTTCGCCGGATTGAATGACAGGTTTAGCCTATTGCATTTTTCCTCGAACTTATCTATACTGTCTTCCAGCACCCGTTTCGCAATGGATACGTCTTTGTGGAAACAAACTATGAAAAAGTCATCAGCATACTGAAACAGTAAGCAGTTATGACTGTTAATATCATGTAGTTCGGCTGTGTAAAGGTTAAAAAGGGTTGGGCTGAGACAACTACCCTGGCAAACACCTCTGTTCACCTCTACCTCGCTTTTGCCCTTTATGAGGATTCGTTTGTTAAGGAAGCTGGAGATCCAAGCCGTGAGGCTTGTATTGAACCGCATATCCCTCATCCTGTGCTCGAGTGTGTCCACTCTTACGCAGTCGAACGCTCTTTGTAAATCCAGGCAGGCTGCGACAACCTGACAACCCCTCGCCTTCAGCGCCAGAACTTTGTTGATAAGGTCGTTGATGCAGAGAGCCGTGGACCTGCTTCTCCTGAAGGCATAGGACCTGTCCGGCAGCAGGTCACAGTTTGCTATGTGCTCGTCCAGCTTCAACTTTATCAACCCCTCTATGGATTTGAACAGCGTGTTAATCAAACAAATCGGCCTATGGTTTTGGAAGGAATTAGGGTCTGCATTCTTCTTGGGGATGGGTACCACTTTTATCCTGCGCCAGACTTCAGGGATGACGCCACTCAGCCATACTTTAATTATAATTCCAAAAATGTCTTGTTTTTTCCCACTTGGTAGCGTTTGAAGCATCCTGAACGAGATGCCATCAGGGCCTCTAGCCGAATTGGGGTTCCTGGTTTTTAGGAAGGCCAGGAATTCTTCCAGTTCCAGGGGTTCCGGGTCGTCTGGTCCTAACAAAGGGGCAGGAATTTTCTTAGGGGGCCTACTGTTTGACGTGGATGGGGTTGCTTTAACCATATTAAGAAAGTTTTTGTCATCTTCGTACGTCCATTTGTTCCCTACATTTTTAATATGACATTTTTAATATGTTCTTCACCCTGCTCCACATAGATGGCGATGAGGAGACCTCTTCTATGAACTTGGAAAAGTTGCGCTTTCTAAGATTTTTTACGTGGTTTTGTAGCTTTTTGTCAGCTTCTAAAGTTGCTCTGGCATCAGCCAATTTTTTGGTGAGGTAGAATTTCTGCCTGCAAGCGTTTCTCACGCGAAAAAGTTTTTCCGTTTCCTCGTTCCACCATTTCTTAGCAACGTACTTGTTCTTGCTTGGGAATGTGACCGTGTTTTTTAAGGTCAGGGATTTCACCCTTTCGTTGAGCTGCTCCAGATTTGAGAAATCACTTGCACCCAGAATCCGGGCTATTCTGTTGTGAAGGATCTTCTTGCCTTGGAGGGGGACATTTAGGCCTTGCACTGATAATACAATTGGGAAGTGGTTGCTGTTCGTAATTATACCCGATACTCAAAATGAGTATTGGGGTATATTAGATTTGTGGTAAAAGTGGATGTGTGTAACGTCCAGAAGGAATCGTTTCCGACCCTATAAAGTATATATATTCTTGATCAGCATCAATAGTCGAGTCGAGTCTGTCCGTCCGTCCGTCCGTCCGTCCGCCCGTCTGTCCGTCTGTCCGTCTGTCCGTCCCCTTCAGCGCCTAATGCTCAAAGACTATAAGAGCTAGAGCAACGATGTTTTGGATCCAGACTTCTGTGATATGTCACTGCTCCAAAAATATTTCAAAACTTTGCCCCGCCCACTTCCGCCCCCACAAAGGGCGAAAATCTGTGGCATCCACAATTTCGACGATACGATAAAACTAAAAACGCAGAATCGTAGAAGATGACTATATCTTCTAGAGTGCAAAATCTGAACCAGATCGTATAATTAT